GACAACAATCAATTACCTCATTTAATCAAGTTTTTTAATGAACTTCATTTTTGTTTGCAAATAGATATTACAAATTTCCTCACAATTGAGGAATGTCATTTCTCTATTCTAGGCTGAATGGGATTTAATGGCCATTCTTGCCCCCTCCCCCCCGAATTGGATTCTCATTCCAAAGTTTCTTAAAAAGTAAAGAACAAGCAAAAACCCCCAAGCCTTAATATTAACAAAATACTCTTAAAGTAATACAAAATATTAATAATATAATAATATATTAATAATTAAATTATAATAATATAGTAATAATAAAAAACTAATCAAATAATGAATTATTAATAACCCATTAATAAGTTAATAGTAAAATAATAATAAAATAAGTGTACTATAATGAATATTAATAAATTAATAATAAAATATAAATATACATTAAGCATTAAATAATAAAATAACAATAAATAATGTACAAATAAAATATTAATATAATATAACTAAAGTAATAATAAAACAATATTATGAACTATTTGTAAAATAATAATAAAATATTAATATAATAGTAATAAACTATTAGTAAAGTAATAACAAAATAATAATATATAAGTAAAATATTCATAAGTTAATAATAAAATGCTAAGATGTTCATTATTAAATACTAATAAATAAAATATTAATAACTTAATATAATAATAATAATAACAAAAACTAAAGTAAAAAATAAAATAATAATAAATTATCAATAAAATAATGTAAAACTAAAAATTTTCAATTGATTCCAATTCTAGCTCCAGATGAACCAAACAACAATGATTGAAATTCGAATCTGATTCTCATCTAAACCATATAGGCATGGGAGTAGGGAATTCAAATTATGATTTCGATGGATTTTTTATTCTAATTCCAATTATAATCCTAACAATCTAGGGGTAGGGGTAACAAGGCTTTAAATATCGATACGTCCGACGTTTTGTATGCATATCTCACGCATTAAATCTATTCACTAATCTATACTATTAATAAAAGAGTGAATAGCCCCATTTTCTGAACTTTTCATTCATTGGACTAATTCTACCCCCACCTGTTGATGTATAGAAAAGGCATATATGTAATTTGCTTCGACTTTAATAGAAACCAAAAAAAAGGGTTATCTCCCACGATCTCTTCCCCATCTCCCACTCCGGCGAACATTTTGAGGAGACTAGAGAGTGAGAGTGCCTTTGGATCAGTTGGAGACTTGAGCCGTCGCAGTTACCCAATGAGATGAGGTAACTAAGGGATGCAAAAGGGTGGAACCGAATTCAGATAAGATATTTTGGTTTCTTACTTGGCTTGCGTTATCCGGTGGCGGCGTTTGCCGCCCGTCGTCTGCGTTCTGATTTGAAACAAAAAATCGAAAACAAAAGTTGAATAGAGAGAAAACAAGATATAAAACTGAGCAGCTCGACACAAATTGTTACAGAGAGGAACAGAAATGGCGGTTAACATCTTGCTTTTTCTCTCAACCATGCATTTTCCTCTTATGGTTTTTCTTTGTGGTTGATGAAATAGGACCTATCTCTTGAATCGGATCTCTTTAGGAACCGCCGATGGATCGTGAACAACCAAAAGAAGCTGATGGACCCATCTCTCGATCTTCAAGGTAAAACCCTCAACTGGCTTGATCAACAAATATCCATGCTGCTTCGAACGATGACCAGTATTGTCGATTAACGAAACGGATGATGTCCCTGGTAGAGGAGGAAGAATATGAAAAAGAGCCGGTGCTTGTCAAGCGATTAGCGAAGTTATTGATGATGAGTTCCAATAAAAAGTTCAATGTGGTGAAGCTCAATTTGTTGAAGAGAAATTTTGGGTTTCCAGATGATTGAACCCTATCATCTTGTTCAATGTGGTGAAGCTCAATAATTAGGATTGTACCCAAATATCCTGACATGTTTCGACTTGTTGGTTACAGTCGAAGACGGATCCTAGCTTGTCTCATTGAACCCTAATTTAGCAATTTCCGTAATAGAAACCCAAACTCGAGAATCGGGGACTGAACCGCTCTTTTCTTGTTCTCTACCTTCGACTTGGGTGAAATCATGGGAGAGATTTCATGAATTTAATGAAAGCCCATATACATACATCGCCTTATACAAATGATAAATTTGGTGAAGGATCAAAGGAGATGGAGAAGAGGGTAGTGGCTCTGGTGCATGAATTACTGTCATTGACTCTGTGGAAGAAAGCGCCAATTATAAAATTAGGCCATTTTAGGAGAGAGTTTAATTTGCCAGAGAGATTGAATGTCATGCTTCTATAGAATCCGGGCATATTTTATATTTCTAAATGTTATCATATTTGCACAGTTCTTCTTAGGGAAGGTTACAGTGGTTTAGAGTTGATCAATAAGGATCCGCTTGTTGTCAAGCATCAAGGAGAAATTTGGGAAACTCATTTAGGTGGGGCTTCATGAATACAACCAGAGATGGCATGCATTGAATTTGGAGAAGAAGAGGCAGAAAGGTGCAATTTCGGTTAGACCAGAGAACAGAGAGAAAAGAAGAATCACTGAAACATTGGAACAAGATGATAATGGGGGCCAACAAGGAACTTTATATGACCCTGAAGAGAGAAAGCGGTTTTATAAAGTTCTTTTTGATGATGGTGTCYGGTAGGATTATCTTGTAATGTGGTTGCTGCAATTATATTCTGTAGTGAAGCTAAAGCCTAAAGGGTTCTTTATTGCCTGACATTAGTTATGGCTTCCTGGGCTTGTGAAACAATATCAAGTATCCAAATTGGAAGTGTTTTTAATTAGAACATTGAGCTTGAAATCTGAGTACAAATCTGATGCATTTTTTTGGCTGAGCAAGATTATATAGACCAGAGGATTCATACTCCCTTATTTTAACACGACACTTGAACCACTTGATGCCATCCAGGCCAAGGAGTTCATATTCATTAAGGTAAGCTTTATTTAGGTTGATGGTTTTTGATTGAGGCATTTAACGTATCATTGTCAGCGAGGGACAAATATACAATCACATTGTTGAAATGCGAAAAGGTTCACACTGACAAGATTCCAATACAAATCGTTTCCACGAACTGATCTCCGAGTGGCCAGAATCCTCGTGTAAACAATGGGGAAGTCCTTCATCCATGCATGCAAAGAAAGGAGAGAACCAACCACCAACCCAACGCATGGTTGCAAGACTGAGAGATGTGTGATTGTGTGTTTCTATGATTCTCTGCATGGCACTTTTGAGTTTAGATATTTTGTCCCATTTAATAAAAACGAACAAGAATGGTGATTGTGATTCCCATAGCGGAACACCTAAATCTTATTATTTGTTGGTGAATTATGTCTAAGGTGACTTAGTCATATTTGCAAGTTCAGGATTAAATCTTGAATGGTTAATCAAGATTCATTAATTTGAAAATTTTTCCCTTGTTTGTCACAAAACATTATTCAAGACCTCTCTCTTACTTGAAGAGTTCAACCTCCATTGGAACCTACTTTTAAATTTTCATACTTCAATCATTATCATGACAATCTCCCACGTGTAATATACTTACTACTCTCCATAAAAAAATGTGAATGAGGTGATTCTCTCACAATGATTCCAAACCACTAAACCATACTTCATTTTCTGATATAAAGTGAAATGAAATATATTTTATTAACTTTTTGTGTTCACACGCAATTTAAATAAAAAACACATATTTATATATTTAACAACCCTAACTAAAAATTAAAAAAAAATAATAATATTTAAAAATAGTATTTTATAAACTACTAGAATAAATAATGTATCAAATCCACATTTATATAAAAAAATATGATTTTTATTATCAAGAAATTTATACAAATAGAACATTAATAATAGAATAATTATTTTAATACTTAAAATTTATAAATTTGCACATGATATAAATCTTAAAATTTTTATATACTTTTATTAGTTATTAACTAATATTTTAAATTTACATTAATAAGAAATAATAACATATTTATTATTTACAAAAAAATAAAAATATTATATACAAAATATTGAAGAATATAATATTAAATTGAATCTATCAAATCCACTAATTTACATTTATTTCATAAAATTTATAGAAATAAAAATATTAATAATGGAATAATTATTTTACTAATTAAAAACTATGAATTTGTATATGATATGTATCTTTGAAATTTTAACAAATTCGATATACTTTAAGTTAATATTATATTTTATAAATTATTAATTAATTGATATTTTAATTTGCACTTGAAAATTTAATATTTAGTTGACTTTTTCTTAATGTTAAAAAATTAAAGTAATAAAATAAAAAATAATTGATATAATAATTAAAATATAATAGGTGCATATGTTTAATGTCTTGGACTCTTGATTGATGCACTATCAATAAAATTATGCATCCCAATTCATTAATTGTAATATATTTCTTTATGTAACCTTAATATTTAGATTTGCTATGTATTTATATACTATTTTATGATCATTTTGATCTTAAATCTAGTGTTATTAATATATTTAAGAAATTTGTATGTATTTTACTAACGTATCCATGCATTTTCATCTTTTTCGTTCGTATTCATACATTTTCAAAGCATATTTGTATCTATATCTGTATCTGAGTTATCTGTTATAATACCCAACACCGATATTTTAATCCTTATGGATAATAATGATATTTTCATTTTTATTTTCTTTTAATTAAACCTTTTTAAGATGAAAACCATGATTTTTCACTTCCGCTCGAATAAATCAGTTGCAAAGTAGGTTTTTTTAAATCGGTGACACCATAGGAGGTGTTTTAATAGATGAACAAGGGTGTGCCTCATGCAAAGCTTTGGTGCGCCCAAATCATCCCAGCAAATAAGACAAAACAGCAAAAGCATTTGTAACCCACCAAAATATCTACGAAATCCTGTAATAACCAATAGACTTCGGAGAAATTGCCACGTCCAACCACTATCCACAGATAAAAAAATGAGATGAAATCCATGTTTCAGCACTTATATGTTTCATCTCTCTGCGCTGCAAACCAGTCATCGATCGTACCACCATGCCGGCAGCAGCACTTCACCACTCTTTCTGTTTCTCTCCCAACAATCCACCATCGCCCCTCCTGCCCAAGGCCCAACTAACCAATAACCTCTCCACAGCAAAACCCAGAAATCCCCTTCAAAAGCTCCCACTCTCATCGTCACTAGACCAATCCAACCTCTCAGTCCAATTCAAGGAGAAGATACTATGTCTTGAGATAATGGGTGTTGATTCAGGGAAAGCACTCTCCCTCAACCCTTCCCTCCACACCGCGACCCTTCACTCCATCCACTCTGTCATTTCTTTCCTCCAATCCAAAGGCATCCACCAGAAGGACATGGGCAGGATCTTTGGCATGTGCCCCAAGATCTTGACCTCCAGCATTAAACATGATCTCATCCCAGTTTTTCAGTTCCTGTCCCAAGACCTTTGCGTACCAGATCATGGCTTCAGGAAGGCTGTCAACAAATGCCCAAGATTACTGGTCTCAAGTGTGAGAGACCAGCTCAAACCAGCCCTGATTTATCTACAGAGACTTGGGTTCCAGGATTTGGAGGCGCTGGCTTATAGGGACTCTGTGTTGTTGGTGTCCAGTGTGGAGAACACCCTGATTCCCAAACTGGACTACTTGGTGAGCTTGGGGTTCTCGCGGGAGGATGCAGTGGATATGGTGTTGAGGTGCCCAGGGCTGTTTACTTTCAGTGTGGAGAACAATTTCAAGCCCAAATTTGCATACTTCACTGAGGAGATGGGAGCCAGCTTGGAGGAGCTGAAGGAGTTCCCTCAGTACTTTGCTTTCAGTCTGGAGAATAGGATAAAGCCTAGACACAAGGAGCTGGTGGAGTGTGGGGTGCAGATTCCTTTGCCATTGATGCTTAAGAGTACTGATGAGGAGTTTGGGGAGTTGTTAAGGCGTGGAGGCGGATGAGGGTTGTCATCACTTTTTTTTCTGGTTTTTCTCTAATTGCTTGGGGAGATGGAGATTGGTATTTATGTTAACTTTGTATAATTTCTTCATTCTCACTTTTCTTGTTGTAAAAATGTAAATTATAGAAATGGTTCGGATAATAAGATGTCCACAAGAGATTGATGTAGGCATCTTTGGTGTTTATGCTTCTTCTTTCTCACTTTTCTGTTATAAGAATGTAAATTACTGATAAGAGATTTGTGCAACTAGATGCTTTACTGGAAGGGAGTTTGTTCTCTCTGTGTGTCTGTATTTGTAGATTTTTCCATTATCTCGCATTTTAACTCACAAGAGGTGGAATGAAAATGGGTCTTCTCTGTTTTCTTGAAATCACAACATATTGACATTGAGAGAGAGAGAGAGAGAGGTCACTCTGAATCCCTTCCCTACCCTGCTTCTAGGTAGGAAAATATTAGGCCTACAACATTGACAGTACTCAAGAGTAGTCAGGGTCAATATAGAAGTCTGGTTCCATGGCTATTGGCTAAGTTACACAATGCTTGAATGCCATCTGAACTGAAATAATTTGATAGTTTTCGTTAGTATTTGAACCCACAGTGTCTTTATCTCAAATGGAGTTGTTTCTAGTCAAGAACAAAATGTTGAAATGATTTTGTTTCAGTTTTGTATGCCCTTAGCTCCAATCAGTTTTGATGTACTTTTGACATTTAGTGTAAATGAATAAAGTGCATGTTTGATTAATGTTGTGTGGTATGTTTCTGTGTAAGACCCTTAAACTGGACATTTAATGAGACTCGTGTTAGTTTAGAATGTTCACAGCTGTTAGATAAGTCTGGGGAGATTTATCCTGCCACGGCTGACACTGGTGTGCTGCCAAATATTGGGGTGGCTTGTCTCAGCCGCCAGGGTGAGACCCTAGGCACATGTAGTGTAGGATTACTTGAATCTTTGAACCGGACCAGATTTCCAATATTTCCGTGGACCTTGGAGATTGATGGGCAAAACTGAAAAGTTACACCTGACCCCTAGACTCGATTATGATACTGCACTAAGTGTCGGATTGGGTTGTCTTTGATATGCCAATCAGTGACATCCTTAACAGGGGTCAAAACCTGGGTATGTTGGGATAGTCTGAGAATTCATCTGAGTGGGTGATCATAGTGACAAGATCAGCCCCTTTGTTGGACAAAGGTAATGATCGGGGATGCACTCTCTCTGATGGAAACCAAACTGTCGGCAGTTGATTTCAATCGTTGAAATTTTGTTTTGCAAAATTTATATATAAGGTATATAGATATGTATGGTTTCAAAATGTTTGCAAATGGTTTTAATTCCCGAGATCCATAAGAGCAGAGAGTGCAGCACTGTTCCTTGCAGCCGAGGAAGAAGTCATCTCTTGTCGGGTAGTGTTTGATCATTATGGGCTGAGAGGTTAAGTATAAGACCATTTAGGGTTACACCTGATGGGCTAATCTCGCATCTGCCCACAGTCCCTGGGTTTTTATAAGATGGCTTGGCCCAAGGACCACTTAGTGTAAGTGTTGGGCCCATAGAGTCCATGTGATGGGTTCAAGGGGTTCACTAGGCTTTCTAGTGAATTCGGCTAGGCCTTGTAACAAAGGTCGGGCCGAACCCATGTGGTTGATGTGTAGATCAATGCTTGGGTCCCACGCCATACAAAGAAGCCCAACTGGGCAGCAGTTTGGAAGCCTGTTGAGAACTTAATACATATTGGACCTAAAGCCCATTTCAAACTGGCTGATTTAATTACCCACTTAAAGGGGCGGATTTGAGATTAGGGCAAGCCAAAGGATTGGGTCTTGACCCTATCCACTCTTTGAGACTAAATTCAAATAAAGATTTAAATCTAGTAACCTTTTGATAAGATCAGGAGTGGGCTGACCTAATCTGCATATAGGATTAAGATAATTCCCTATCCAAATACAGATTTGGATTGGGATAACTCCTAATAGGATTAGGAGGTTTCTTAATCACTAAGAAAGAGGAGAAACCCTAATCTTGAATTGCAAGAATTCGAACCAAGGGTTTAGCAGAAAAAATCCTCCTACAATTTGAGATAGAATCTTAGAAAACTCCTCTAGCCGCCGCCGCCATTCACTGCCTGGTTCGATCTCTTTGAGAGGGAAAGATCAAGAAGGTGTTCTTGATATCAGTCTTTGCTGAAAGGCTAATTGTGTACGGTGCTCTTCGCTTCCATCGAATTCTTGTGAAGAATTTGGTTCGTAGGATGAACACTACTGGTTCTGCTCCAGTATCACTGCGTCATCTTCAGTGGGAGCAGATCTTGGGAGTATTCTTTGGGCGTGAACACCGACGTTGGGAGATACCGACTCTCCGTATCAGGTATAACCCTTCCCTTTCTCTTTGGTTCAGATCTGGTTCGGTTTTGGTTCAATTAGATCCTTGAATATTGTATTCTAAAATCAGGGAATATGATTCCCAGTTGGAAGGGAGGAGAGAAATTTTTGAAATTCGCCCACCCTATTCCGCTGCATTCTTAGCGTCCATATGATGGATCTCTCCCTCCTTTCACCTTATATATGTTTTCTCTTTAGCTACAAGAATTGGGTCCATTGTATATGGGGAATTTGTTGTCTAAAATCTAATGGGAATCTAAAAAGAAGATTATTTTATTCTGGGTGGCATCTAAAGATATTAAACAGTGAAAAATGCATTTCTAGTTTGTGATTATTGAGCATCACAGAAATCAGAAGATAGTAATTAGATGACTCAAGAACTCACAGAAAGAAATTCAAGAAGAAATCGCATTCCTCTTATTCAAGAACTTCTTACAACTTCCTTCAACTTTGACGACAAAATGCTAAGATGGGAAGAGAGCTGAAATTGGTTAAGGAATCTCTACTCCATGGTAGCCCCATTGGTTGCAAGATGGCAAAGGATAGCCTAAAAATTCCAATTCTGTAATTTGCAGATGATTGTATTATCTTCACTGAGACTATAATTCTAGCCTGTTTGAAAATTAAAATCCTCTCAAAGTTTTAAAGGGCATCAAGTCAACATCCAAATTTTAAGAAATTTACAACCCAATTCTCAAATAATACCCCTAACAGATTTCAAAAAATCCTAGCAAAAACTATGAAAATTCCAATCCAAACAAAACTATTTAATTAAATCTAGAGTTACTAAAAACACTTTCATGTTTGTCAATGATAGGGACAATAACAAACTTAACAATCTACAACTGCAAGTTTCTTACACCGCGAACCACTGTCAACTCGTTTGACCACTCGAATCAATGGTTTTCTAACCAAGTCAATGGTTTTTGACCCAAGAACGGGTTAAGGGTGAAATGGAATCAGTTGCTTAGACGATTTCCGAGCTGAACTGTCCAACCGTTTGGGTCAACGACGGTTCAAAAGCATTGCCTTTTTCTCCTTAGCACTCCAAAAACTTTCTTTTGTAAGGTATTTACTCCTAACCACTTTGACCCAAAGATTATCCTCCTCTTTTAAAATTTTCCATCCCAACTTTGCAAGGCTTACTTCATTTACTCAATGGAGGATTTTGAGACCAAAACCCCAACTCTTTGATTTACAAACTCTCCCAACTTAACAAATGGAGAGGCTTTTTCTCACTAGAGTTAGACCAGAGAAAGTTTCTTTAGGATTTATCTAAATCTTCAATGACATTTTGGGGGAGCTTAAAGGACCTCATTAAGTATTGTGGCATCATATTAGTAGTGGAATTGAGGAGTCCAACACAATGGGAGAGAGAGAGAGAGAGAGAGAGAGAAAGAAGAAGATGATGATGATGATGATGATGATGATTTTAGAGTTGCAAAGAAGTCAATCTCATATCTCATATCTTTTTTTTTTCTTTCTCAGCCGATAGAGTCTCTTCTCCTTTCTCTATTTCTCATATAAACTTTTATATGATAAATATTTTCCCTAATGAAAACCGTCTGAATTGTTCAATCCGGACGGTCGAACCGCTAACTCAAAAATCGGTAGCTAGAACGGTTCCATTTCTGAGTCGGTTTTTAAAACCTTGAAAAAATGTATCTCTTGGGCCTGGAGAGGAATCCTTAGTGCTAGAGAGCTACTCAAAAAGGGTATTGGGTGGAGTAACTCCACTCCTGCTGAAGTAATCTCCCCATAGCAAATTGAGGATGAGAGCCTTCTTGTGAGAAGGAAGGTATTAGGCACCCCTCTCTCTAAGCTGCTATAGCAGCCCAATACGGGAGTTGTTCAGGCTTAATTTCTTTCAGAAAACTAATACATACAACTGCTAGAATTTATGAAATCTAGAGAAATGTGCGCTCAGCTTCTCTTGAGACCGACTTTAAGGTGATGTTATTGGGTCTTACGTACTAATTTCCCTAAGACCCTCACCTCTCTGCCTCTATACTCAGTCTAGAAGAAGTTGAGAACAATGCTTATCCAAGGTCTCTGAACTTCAAACAACCCAGAAAAATAAAGAGATTACGAAATTAGGTTTAAAAGTTAAAATGAAAGACTTACCTTTCATATGTACCTTGTTAAAAGTTTTCCAACAACTAGGGATGAGATAAAAAAAAAAGTTTAAATGGGTTCTTGAGCTAGGGAATGCTTTTGGTTGTAACAACTTCTGCTTGAAAATGGAGAAGGCGAGTTTGGAATTTGAGGTTCAAAGTACATTCGATTTTCAAGAGAAGAAGAGGCAGTATATGGGCTATGAGAAAGCTCTTTTCTCTTTTTGTCACTCTCTCTGGGGGCCTCCCTCAAGTCCCCCCCCCCCCCTTTTGGGGGCCTCTCTCAGGTTTCCTTCCTCTTCTGCCCTTTTGAGCTCAAATTATATTAGTATTTATAGAGAAAGGGAAGGGGGTCTGGTTTGAATTCGTTTAGGTACAGTGCTTGGGATTTAACAACAGTTTTTCACACAAATAGGAAAAAAATTCTTCAAAGAAATAGATGCCCAGTCAAGATTTCCTATTTGGTGAAACATTTTCTTCGATTTGGGGGTGGTTTTCACGGGTTTTGTGTATCCAATCAGAGTTTAAGGCTATCATGGTAGTCTTGTATTTGGGGTTGTCAGTGGTAGAAAATGTAAATTTGATGAACTTTTAAATGTTATTTTGTCTTTTTTTTTGTTTTAAGTAGGGATATCTTGGGGTTTTGGGCTTTTTGGGTCTATTAGGCTTTGTTTCATTGATCCAAGTGTTCTAATGAGTCAAGAATGGGTCTGACATTAGCCATCACCCTTTTGAGGCTTCAGGTTTAGATGAATGACATGGCAATTTAACGGTCAAACGGATG